CTACAAAGGCAGAACTAATGCGTCTCCATAAACAGATAAACAGGCATTGCCACAGCAAAGAACTGTGAAGTTGACAGCGAGGCCACCACTTTGAGGAGTGGGGGAAAGTTGAAAAGAGTTGCATTCGTTTCAGCTGTATGAGCTTTTTCTTTTAAATAACCCATATGACATGAAAAGCAGCTGGCCCCAAGGTATTTCTACTTTATCTAATCTGGCCCCCATTCAATGAAGCTTGGACATCCCTGTCCAAGAGCTAGAGATTAAGAAAGGAGAGACTGGGGATGGTTGTAAAAATTTTGACATTCTGACAGTATCATGGTGCTCTTTTAAGACAGTGCATTCAAAATATGATACAAACTAGTTACATGTGTCTGCTATAAAATGGTGTAACTTTTATCTCTGTAACACAAACTGAAAATGATGGTTTAGTTTCAAGCACAAGAAGTGAAATGTTTCCGTTCACCCCATTGTCTGGGTTACCTGTAACATAGCCTGGGGTGAAATGGAACATTATGAAATAAGGATTATGACAAAAACGTGAGATACTGACAACTTTTTAATCAACACTTAAATGACTTTTTCACATAACTGGTGTGTGTGAGTCAAGTACCTTAGTTACTGTCAGTCATAGTAATGACAGACATTTAAGCATGATAATAAAATTTAACAGAATGTGCAAAAATGCATCATCTTCAGGAAGACTTTCATTGTGCTCATTCATTCATTCATTTTCCATAACCACTTATCCTGTTGGGGGTCACGGGAGGGCTGGAGCTTATCCCAGCTGACATTGGGCAAGGGGCGGGGTACACTCTGGACAGGTCACCAGACTATCACTGGGCTGACCCATAGAGACAGACAACCATTCATACTCACATTCACACCTACTGGCAATTTAGAGTCACCAATTAACCTGCATGTCCTTGTTGGAGGAAGCCGGAGTACCTGGACAAAACTCACGCTGACACAGGGAGAATATGCAAAGTCTGTATAGAAGGGCTCCCCCACCTTGGGTTCAAACCTCCCCAGGAACCAGGAACCCTCTTGCTGTGAGGCAACAATGCTAACCACTGCTCTACCATACCACCCACGTCCTGCCGTTCACTCAAACTTTACCACGAGGGGGGATGTTCTACTTTGGATTCATAGCCCCCCTTAAATATATATGGGGTCTAATTGCTAAAGAGGTTTCACATTTTTCATACTCATGCGCACTAGTAAATATATGTTCTTTTCACTTAAGAAAAAAAAAACGTTTCCCCTGATTGAAGTGAATATTAGTATGTGTGTGTTGTGCTGGTTTGTCTTGCACTCTTGTGTTAATGTATGTGTGAGTGTACATGTGTGAGTCAAGTGCTAACAACTTGTGCATGGAAGATAACGACATAGGCATTTAATAACTGTGATTAAAGTTTGGGGAATTTGAATACAAAGCAGATAATGCTCTTGCAAAAATAAAAATAAATGAAAAAGAATTAGTTTCTTCTCTCAAAACAGGTTTTTCCTTATAACCTTGGCTGTCTGCCGCAGGGTGCTTGTTCGTCACATGAGGACTACGGGCTAAACTCAGCATACAGAGTAAGGCCCTGTTTAGACGACAACGGTTTCTCTAAAAACGGAAAAGTCTGTCCTTTGTGTTTTAAAAAACTTATGCGTTTATATGACGACGTTATTGAAACAATCCCCGTTAACGTGAAGCCGCAAAATCTACTGGAAACGCTGTAGTATGCATGCCAGGCCAATGAGTGGCAGTGTAAATTTGCAAAGCAACACCACGGCATGATGGCATGCGCCTGCGCTTAAGTGCCTTCCTCTACAACGTGGTGGTTACAAACCAAAACAAAGAAGACACGATGGCGAAAGCATGCACAAACAACTTTGTCTGGATGGATGACGAGGTGGTGTTGCTACAGTAACCGATCTACACTTCACTTCAAATCAACAGGGTGAGCAGCACAAACAGAGCTCGGCATTGTTGTTGTGATGGTTGACTTTCTCACGCATGCCTAGTGACTGGAACTGTAATGCGCATGTGCGAAAAGTCTCCGTTTTCAGAGGAACTGCATATTGCAAGTTTACATGACAACGGAGACGCTGCCGTTTCCAAAAAATTGCACTCTTGAACCTGTTTTCAAAACGTTGCGTTTTCAGGCACCCAAAACACCACTGTTCTGTAAACGATCGGCCAAAACGCAACTTAAGTTTACCGTTTTCAGTTGACGTCGTTGTCGTATAAACGGGGCCTAAATCAGATGATTTGTAGCTTGGACAAATTGAAAGTGTTACATCCATCCCTGGTATCCCCTATGCGGAGACAAGTCCAGACACCATACATTGCTTTCAGTCAGGCAGCAGCCATGGTTTAAAAGGTTCAAACCTGTACTTGTCATCTTTAATTAAGCTGCCTTTGAAACAGGAATATTATACATGATGAATAACCTTGAGAATAATGTTTCCAGGCCACAACATTCAAAAGGCAGCTGTGTGCTACCTACCTCCGGGAGACAAAGCTGGTGAGGATGGCAGTGTTACCTCAAGGGACACAGAGCGACACGAGCCGAGTGGGGGACAGCTGACAGACAACAGCGGCTGTCAGCCTTTAACCTAAAAAAAAAACTCCTCAGCCCTCTTGGTTTTAAGAGCTTAGCGGCTATTTCCTGCCACAGAGGTGCTCAGCTGTCCATAATAGGGCCACATTGAGGACGGGAGGATGCACTGCTTTAGGATGTTTGGCAGAAGTTGATCCGGGGACAAACTGGCAGCATTTACTGAGTCAACATGTTGATCCTCATTTCCATATTTCACCTGGGTGCTAAGCCCAGCATTAGAGTGGTCTTCCATAAATACAAAAGCAGCAGAGCAAGAAAAAAACTGGCCTGCAAAACAATGCTGCTTGAAATGCAAAGCAAACAAATATCACTTACAATTTACCCAAAACAAAAACAGTTTATCTTTTGTGCTCAGCACATCATGGCACGGTCGGAGGCGGGTAGTTTTGTTCCTTTTTTTTCCCCCCCAAAAGCCAGAGTAATTATCTCAAGTCGCTCTCTCCTCATTCAAAGCAGTCGTTGCACTGTCTTCCTGTGTTTTCTGACAGCATTATTCAGATGAGTTGTGCATTGCAGTCTGAGTCATGTTTACTGACCAAAGCCGCAGTGTGAAATCCAGAATAATTGCTCTCCACAACTCCCCTGGCATTCCCTGGCACATTGTGCTGGTCTGTTCAGTTCAAGCAGGAAGTCCAGCTGAGACAGAATTTTTCCAAAAATAAATTAATACAGTGTTCTGTTCTATTTTTCCTCCGACACGTTTCATGTCATTGAAAAGAATGATTACAATTTTTTTGTTGTTGCTATGAATGGTGCAGGATGAGATGAAACCATGTATAAAAAGCCACTGAGGGAATTCAGACATCTATGGCCTCCTTGCCAGAGACACAAGGTAGGAGACTGTCTTGCTCAGTACGTTTAGCGCCTCCAATTTTCACACCTTGACATGCCTTGGGATATAACTGTGAAGAAAGGTAAACCTTGGGATACCTACTGTATATCCAGCAGCATATGTAATTGCTCAATAACGGGAGCAAAACAAACAGATGTGTCAGGGCACACAGTGTGCACAGCTCATTATACCAGAGCCTTCTTCAACACGCAGCTATGCTCAGCGCCTGTACGAAATGACATGCAGGGAGGAGCTCTCTGTGTGTGGTGTGAAGTGAGGCAGCGCTGGTAACAAGCAGATAACAGTCCCACAAAGATAGTATTGCCAATGCTTTGCACAGGAAGGGGATGGGCAGCATCATTGCCATTCAGCGCCGCACACGCGCTCGCACCCAAATCTCAAAAGCATGTCACTCTCCCAAATTGTTTCATGTTCTTTAGAGTGACTAAATAAAACCAAAAGGCAAACAAATCCTCCTGGGACTGAGAAAACACTCGTGTCGGATACTTTGTAGTTGTGCCTGTGTCTAATACTTTCCAGTCTGGTTTCTTCAAAATGGCTTTTTCTATTTGAGCCTGACTCTTAAACTGTGTGGGGCTTTAATGGAAGGAGGAGGCCTCTCTTAAGGATTTACTGCCATCTGTTGGTACTGAATGAAACTGATAATCAGTCAATAATGTTCTCAGTGCTCTGCTGTACTGTACAGTATTCCTTTGAAATACACGAGTGAGACTAAATATATCACTCATTCTACGCAGCAGCAAGGCCACTGTAAAGACATGAGAAAATGTGACCAACGTCTAGATAATTCATTCAGCCTCCCCTTTACTTTCGTATTATGCTTACCATAACCACTCAAGAGCATTCAAAGCTAAGACAACTGTCTGTATGATAGCTGGTGCTGGCTTTCATAATTTTCCTCTGGATACAAAAAAAAAAATGCCCAAGAGTGCACGAATGGATCCCTTCCAGAGGAAGAGCTCATGGTCTCGATTTCACGCTGCTGATGTAAAAAGTTTCAAATGTAGATTTTTTTTGGGTTGATTGGAGAGATCAAACTCAAGTTTCCTAACACCATCACTTGCCATGCATGAGAGTTAAATACGCACTCAAGATTCTGAATTTGTTTTGCGGCACGGCATTAAAACGAACTGCCTGTTTTTCAGACTTTGTAAGATGACTTGCCGTAATGAATGTGCACGGACCTCCGTTTTCATAACATCTTGAATCACCATCTCACTCACATTTTTGCATGCTCGACTGAGCTGTAATTACCATTTAAAGTGGGATAGAAGTGAGGTGAATGAGATGGTTGTTTGCACCTCAGGTCACGCATGCAAGGCTGCCTTTCTTGATTACTTGATTAGGTGAGGCTAGAGGAGATCAACCAATGGAACATTTGGAGAGAACACAGGTTGATCTGAGGCACGACAGATGCATTTCTACAAGAGCCTTCCCATACCACTGGCTGTGTATGACTGACCAAAATATTCAGCTGATTGCCCAAAATTTTCTCCTAAGTGTCTTCACACTAAAATAGTTAATAGTAAATCCAGCAGTAATGAAAACCATTAATTTCCCTTTATTTTAAAAAGTCAAACTGTATGGTAAAGGAAAAGAAATACAACACTTGCATGGTTCTTTTACATAGGATGTATAAAACAATTAAAGTTTGCTTTTATGGGGCATCTCAACCATAACCATTGCTGTTTAAAATGGCACATCTCCATCGCCGATAACAGAGACAGAATCTAAAAAAATGGCAAAAAATTCATAGTGACATAATTGGCAGAAGTGTAAACTGAGGTTACAAAAACCGTTTGCCTTTCAGAGGACCAAGATATCATGGCTACACAGATGGACCTCTGGCAAATAAGACTCCCATGACTAAATACAATAGCTGTGAAATGTGCCTCCAAACTGGCTTATTTTAAAGGGCACCCTCTGTCCAAAAAATGTCCCCCTTAGTTACATGACAGGGGTTTCAATCCATTTAGCTAACTGTGGCACTGCAACCGCCTCCTGGAGTATAAAGAAGAGTATTGATTCAGACAGAAAACATGTTGAAAATTAAAACAATATTAAAGCCCTTACATTACAGTTGAGCTAGATATTAAGAGGTAGGGAAAAGAGAAGGAAAAAAACAAAAACAAAATACAGACAGACTTTTGCAGGTCCTTCTACTGCATCTGGCGCTATGTTAATGTAAAAATACAAATCAAGATGGTAGTTATAGCTGGAGGTCCTCAGTCTGCCTCCTCTTCCTCTGACTCAGATTCTGGAAAAAAGAAATCATCAGTCAGCATTTTGCTCAAACATTTGCAAGACATCAGACAGACTTGACATCTTGTTACTCTCCCTTTCTATCTTCAGTTTGACATGGCGCCCACTCCAACTGATTTCTGTGGGGGCACAGGGAATTGATTTTCCCAAACCAATCACCAGAGGGCCAACGTATCTGCCTGAATCTAACCATTTTAACTCCACAATGGTGCTTAGTCATGCCAGCATACTTGTTTTGATGGGGTTTTAAGGGTGGGGCAGAGTGAAGTAAAACAAAACTACGACATTGGGTGATATTGAGAAAAAGTTTCAATTTAAAACAGTCTCAATAGCAGACTTGATAGCAGGACTTGTCTATTGCTCGTGCCACTGTTTTTATTATTCCTCATTGGTTCTGGCCTGACCGGCTAATCGTTAGCCCCCGCGAAGCTCATTGGTCATTTTTTGTTTTATACGGGAAACCACTGCTGCATGTCACAGTGCCAAATGAATCAGTCAACTTCTGCAACATTCTTAAAAAACTGCTGGTTCACACTAATGCAACTAGATGATGGTGTATCATCTCTATGCAACAACTCAGTTCTGAATTCCAAATTTTAAGGCTTATTTTGTGGCTGAATATAATTTTCAGCTTCTTAAAATATGAATGAGGATAGTGATAGTGAGATGCTGGCTACAGTTGCATTTGTAGTAGTGATGGAACAGAGAAAAACATAACGCACATCAGATGGGTTGTATTCATAATAAATACACCACAATGTTCTAAAAAAAACCCAGCACCAATTAATCAGTCAGTGAGAATGTGTCTGGGGGCATAAGCACATATAGCAAGCAGCAGCGACCCACCGTCCAACACCGACACACCGTAAGGACAAGACAGAGGGCTCGGCGGGTATGGGGCACCTGCTGCAGCGTGTGAACATGCCGTCTGCAGTCATTTTGACTTGACCAGTGGACTTCACTACAAGCCAATTGGCTGTAGAAACAGGTGACGTGCTTTACATTCTAAAAACCAGCTGCTGGCGATTTGACCAGCTGGCTTGCGTCGAGCTCGGACTGGCCACTTCCCACCGCAGCAACTTTTCTCTGCAACATTTTAAAACGATTTCATCTTATTGCAAATCTTTGGTATGCACTGGGCTTAAGTATCACCATGAAGGTCATTTCAATGCAGAGGTAGGACAGAAAAGAAAGACACAGAAAAGAAAGGCGCAGAATACAGGGGACACATCAGGTACATCCATATGTTATTCAGCAACAATGACACCAAGCACACACCCATGCTATGTTTTGCCAGTAGAATCAAAAACACCCACCAAGAAAGCAAGAAAAGAAAAAAACGGAGACCGTGAGATGCTTACCTTCCTCTGCATTCTTGAGCCATTCAACAAACTTTTTCATCTGCTCAAGGAAAACGCTCTTTCCTTTGGCAATGTGGGCTTCGTTGTACCACTTCAGAATTGCCTCCTCACTCAAGACATCCGCTTCAAATAGAGACAAACAAGAAATATATTAACAAAAAAAAAAAAAAAATCTATTCAACATGATGCCAACAGCACAAATATTTCCGCAGGTGCTTGAAAAACAAATGTCGCCAGGCAGGTTGACGATATCAATCAAGACAAACTTTTGGCTGTAATCTCTGGCCATCTGGCATCAGCTTCCCACAACAAAACTAAATTTTTTCACTACAAATGTGAGGATGGGAAAACAGGAGCTTCATGGACACAAACAGATGTACCTTTGTAGAGCAGCACAACAATTTTCTGGAAGGCCTTCATGAAGTGGATGTTGTCGTAACAGTACTCCTGGATCTTCAACAGGAGTGTGAGTTCAGAGAGGCCCTGGGAGGTGAAAGCCTTCAACAGTGGGCTGTATTGCTGAGAATGTAAAACAGGCAAGATTAGAGTTAGGGTTGTACAGAAATCTGATAGGATATTATTCGAATTCTTACAGAGGAGTTCAAATCCTACAGCAGCCTGGATTTTTTTAAACATCTTTTTGAAAGATCACAATTCAAGAATGTCATCCGTATGTTTCTTTAGATCTCTCATTTCGGAGCGTGTCGTCATGACTGCTACAGGGTAGCGGAAAAGCAGAGCTATATAACAGAGTTGTCACCTTTAAAAGTTTGATGGCTTGTTCTGTGACCAGCTCCTCCTTCTTGTTCCACTCCACGGAGCTCATTACACTGGCCCAAATTAGCCCAATCATCGTCTGCTCGGAGATGTTGTTCTTCTTGATTTCCTCTCGGACGTAGGCGATGATCTGTAAGACCCAGGGCCCAGAGATGGAACACACATTATTGGCAAAGCAGGAAAAACCATGGCCAGCATATGCTGAGGGCTTATTGCTTATCAAATCCTGCAGGAGCCTTAAGTATGAGAACCCTGGCAGGGTACAGAGGCTTGCAGGAGCAGATAATATGCTGAGGTTGAGTGGATTTGTGCAACTTGTCATTGATTCACTGCATCCTTTTCTCCAGCTCTCCTCAAGACAAATGGGGGCAGAGGTTAAGAAGAAAGTAATCCTAAGTGCCACCCTCAGTGCTGTGGCACACAAAATGGGACTTGGATGATGTAAAAGCAGCTGGAAAACTAACGAGGCTTACATCTTTGAGGGGGTCCCCACGTGACATCTGCTCCTCCAGCTCTTTCTGCAGCTCCTTGCGAGCACCTATGGACTGCTGGTTTTTGGCAAAGTCCGAAAGCTCCTTGAGCCCGGCGTCTGTGAAGTACTTTGAGAAGTGCTCACAACTGCGCTTGTTGGCAGGGAACAGCTCCTGAAAAAGCACACAGTCAATATTGAGGAAGAGCCTGTTCAGCCAGACAAACCTTCTTCAGCAATTAAGACACCTTTGTTCATTAATTGCCTGAGTGCTGGACGCCACCATAGCCTGGAACTCTGTTAAATTCATGCAAATTATTTATCTTATATTCATCAAACCATATTTAGAGTGCACAGGCAGATGGCTGACCCTTACTGCATCAGGAGGCATAATGCTTCATCTTAGCCTTACAAAAATTTTGTATTAAAGATGTCGCTCTCACCATGAGCCTGCTGTCCATGCCAACCTTTCGGAGACTGCCAGAGACAGAGTTGATGTCCTTTTCGGAAAGCCAGGATTTGAAGAGTTTTACAGCGAAGCTCGCTGAAACACCTGAACAAATGCATAAAAATGTGCGTCAGCTGTTGCTAACAGACCTGCCAGGATAACGTTAGGCTCGAGTAATACATGGATAAACAAATGCACGCCACAAGATGTGATTACACAGGTTTTAACTGGAACAATGCCTTAAAACAACAAGGAGGCAGGGAACAAAATTAATTTGAACCACAGGTATACTATATACTATATAGATGTCCATCAGACATAGTTTTTTTCTGATATGTAAAGACAATTGCTGACAACGCCAGGTCAAAGAGATACCTAACAGTGCCATCTGCATGTTTTTACAGACATTATTAATTCATAATCCAAGCACGTATCGCTGTTAACACATATTCACACAAATTCACAACACAAATGACGGGCTATTTTTTTTTTTTATTTATTTATTTATTTTTTTTACATTCTATAATGTTAGGTCCTCAGGTTTTCTTTTTTTGGTTTAGGAATGCAGACTATTAACTGATTATTTTCTCTCATGCTGATGTAAAACGTAAGTGTGTGTCAGCTGAAGTCTTTGTGGTGGGTTCAAGTGCAACTTTTGACTTGAAGTTGTGCCAGGCAAAGCATGCCAGTTTACTGCAGACATAATATCAGCCCATGAGTAAAATATCCCACTGAGCAGATACCTTTGTCACAATTCTTGGGTCATCAAGATAAGGAATACTTATAAAAATGTTTGTTTATTTAAGCGTTTATGTAAATAAATTTAAAAAAAAAAAAACATTAGTCAATATCAGTATTGGCATCAAAAATCCAGTGTTGGTTGAATTACAGTTTGATCAGCTGCTCTTTGTTGGCACTAGTTCTTTGAGAGTAGCTTGGCATGTCAGTTTGTAAGCCAGTTTGCAGACTGTCTAAGGAATCAAATTAATTGCATTTGTGATTGACAACTAACTTATTTCCCCAACTGTTTACAGTGTGTAATATTAATCTTGTCATTGGAATTGCAAAGGATAATTTATAGTTAGAGTAAAATAAATGGCTACATAAAAAACAAAGAAATAAAACATCTAGACACCATAAATAATGTTTATGTAGTGCAGAAATAATTCAATTTACTTAACTGAATGACTTGGAAATCCTGAGAGTGAAACCGCATTTTACATGCTTGATGCGTTTTCCTCAGATGGCACTGATATCAGACATGACTGGAGGCATCTACTGCTTTTCCATTATATACAACTCCAAAGCATAAATTGGTTGTTTCATTGCTGCATTATGTCTGCGATAGATTTAGGATGGGAGACTGCTGGTGTGCAGTGTTTTCAACAACAGACTAAACAATGATTTCACCAGGTATCTGAAAATGTGCTGATACATGATCTGATCTTGCAGTAGTGTCTAGTTGGTTTCTCAGTAATTGTTGGCACAATTGCTAATCACTCTGCTACTTAGACTAATAACTTTAAAGCATTTAAGCACATGTGAGGATGTAAATTTATTTTTATTATGCTTTTATCCTTAAAATGTTTGATAACTCTTTGAAAATCATTGAGAAAACACTAAGATATGCCTTTTAAAAAGGCAGATGTTGGGAAGGAGAAAGAGAGTGAGAGAAAAAGCAACAGTGATGGAGGATACGGTTTTCAGTATTAATAAAAATATATCACAGGTATTAAAGACATGAAGGAAAAAAAAGACACCGGTTATATTATTTTTAAAGATTAATCTAAAAGGTATGAGATGATTCTACCTCCTTCTCACATCTTATATAACCTCAGTCCAACTACTTCTACCTGCGGACTTCATCTGCAGAACAATGAACAACAGAACGAGGCACACCTATGAGGCAGAGAAGTACGTACCTTCTTTGACCAGGTTCTCATTGAAGAGGCTGCTAAGAATGGCTGCAGAGAGATTGCCATTGGCCAGCAAAATTCCTGTAAGCATGGCTAGCTTGTTGCGCTCAGACTCTGTGAAGCCCTTGAGAAACAGCAGCAGCTACCAAAGAGCAAACACATAAACAATTGAGTCAGACATGTATTATTATTGTTTTGTTTTTTTTAATATCTGAGTTGGAATAACATGGTCATGAATTCTTAAACTTGACCTGGACAGATACTACGTGTTCCTATAAAGATGCCCTTCGCAAAAAACAAACCTTTTTAATCTCTTCCTCGAACCCTTTCTCCAAGTATTTGTAACGCCTGATGAGTTTGTTAAAGACCTAAAGGAAACACAACATGCTTCATTATTTGTAATTCTTAACTTCCCTGTGACGACAGTAAAAACTGAGCAGGAATTCGATGGTGTTCACCTGGGCATATGCCTGCATGGTCTCCATGTCCTCTTGTGCTTTGAAGAGACAGAAGTCAGTGCAGGTCACGTCATCGGACAAGGTACCTCCTGGGGCTGAGAGAAAACAGATTTTCTTATTTTGTGAGTCTTATGCTCCATACCTCCAATCAGCTGTTTTACTACCCATGACTGTGTGTTTACAAGTGCATAAAACTGGATTAAGAAAATAATACCTTCCTGTGTACTACTAGTTTCACGGCATGATTAGTGTTCAGCTGTACAAGGTATGAAACAAATAGAGTCCTGCTTCTTACCCAGCATTCCGCCAGCCACCAGGATGTCGAACAGAGTCTCGGCATAGCGTCGGTAGTCAAGCTTGGCACCAGAGGCATCAAGGAACTTTGTGACAGCTTCCAAATCAGTGCCAGATTGGTTCAGACCTTGTACGATGCTTTCCTGAAACTGGGAAGGATCAAACTTCTCCTTTTCATCTGTTGAAAAGACATAACTTGAGTTTAGCCCCACCACCTACTTATGACCTGGGGACATTCTAAAAGACAGTTTCAAACCCATAAAAAAAAAAAAAAAAAAAAAAATCACTTATTCTGTTCCTTGCAAATGTATTTGCTGCACAGCCAGACACCCTTCTTTAGTATGCACAGTGGCAGTAAAAATGTGTTGAATATCTAGCCAGTGAACAAATATGCATGGTCTTCAGTAGGGTTGTGGGCTTTTGAAGTGAGCAACAGTCATAAAAAAGGCAAAAGTTCAGCTCTAGACAGTACACTGTGTTGCCTGCAGCCAGTTAGGACACCTCTTTCATCTGCTTCAAATCCAAAATGTTGCCATATTGGTGCAGTTTTCATTTTCTTGGGGGACTCTGCCATGTCTTGACTCTGCCATGTCTTGTCTCGTCTTGTCACGTCACTCCCAAAAACACACAAACGTTCCACTAAATGCATATTTTCATGTGGCCATGCTCGGCTCACGGCCTGTCAGACACTGTTCTCTCCCTTAGTCTGTTTATAAACAAACATGATATCATGTTCATCAAGTTGTCATATTGCTTATCACTGCAATACAAGTTGGATTTAGAACCATGACACTGTCAGCACAGGTTGCTGATGTAGGCTACTTTTTAACTTGCCAGAACATGTCATAACGACAGATGTGGGTTTAGCCAATTTGCATTTAACCAAACCGGTTTAAGCTAAAACACCAGAACAGCAAAACCGGAAATCAACCCAACTGTGGCCTTCACTGAACCAACCTTACAATAACATTCCTGTGTCTGTAACTGTAAGCAGGTAAAGTGCTGGACTGAAAAGTCAGTACTATGAAAAGCGGAAGACAATCAAGCAGATGCTCCATGTGAAACCAAATGGAGACCTACTAGTTTGATAAAAATCACCATCAAAGACTAAACAAGATAGCTTTAATCCTACTGTGGATTCCTTAAAGTTTCTCACCTCTTTTTCGGGTTTTGTACCGCTGGCCTGATAGCGTAGGCTTCTGCTGCCTTTGATTACTCATAAAAGACACTCTGGAAGACAAAACGGAAAAGAAATAAGATCAGGATTAGCGCATAAAAAAGAAAATTATAATCAACCTTTTTATTTAGACTCCAGGTCCATTAAAAAAGACAGACAAACATACAATAGATAATTCTATTTCCCTATAATGCATTGAAAAAACTGTAAGGCTATACACGTGGCTGAAAACAACTATTATACCCATCACCTAAATTTATTTGACAACTTAAGACACAGGGTGAAGTGAGGTAATGTGGGCAACCTTCTGGTAGATTACCAAGAAAACCACATAATGACCTCACCTAACTCTAATGACTACCTCAAGTGTTCTTCTTATGGTTCTCTTCTATAATTCTGTGAAGAAAATTTGTGGCCAAGTAAAATATTTTAGAAACTTTGGACCTTCAAACACGTCAAGTAGCCCTTCCTCACCTAAATGACATGTTCATGTGAAATAGGAGAGCTGGTAAGGTAAAATGGGACTGTCAAGTTTGTGGGTTTTTTTAAATGATAAATCCATTTATCAGTTTAGTCATTACTACATTAAATCATTAATGTAACTTGTGGTTATTTGTTTAAAAAAAAGTTCAACTTTTCTGCCATGCTTTGTTCTTTGTTCTTCTGCTGTCTATTTCTTGGTGGCATATAGTCTACAATGGACATGTGTGTGTAACAATGCTGTTCAATTCTGGACCACTGTAACCAACAAGGACTCACTAAATCATCTTCAGTATTTTTTAAGTGACATGCTTGTGACAAAATGCTAAACAATATCTAGAACATTACAGGGTGGCACACAGTAGAAAAAAAATCATGATTTCATGGCACCTGGTAGCCTAAAAACATGCTGGTTTCACTTTAGGAAAATGTCTCTTTTTTTATCCCATTTTACTTGAACGCATTGAGTACTCACTCAAAACCTTTTCCCATAAAAAGTAAAAAGTGTATTCTGAAAATATTTTGATTATAAGTGAAACAGTTAATAAAATTCAACATCTTACAGCCATGTTTGACACTCTTATTGTTTTAGGTGCAGTAACTTACTGACAGTTTGGTCAGGGAACAGCACTGGAGTTAGCACAGTGGATGTATCGTTATGTACAGTATGACCTCACATACACTGTGCAAGGTAAAACGAGCACAGATACTTCTGTAACTATGCCATCATCTTTGACTGCTGGGCGTTAAGTTACTCATGCCAACATAATATAAACTGAGTACTCAGAGCAACAGCCCTACGTTTGTCCACAGGTGTTCACTGTTATGATAATGCTAATCTGAACGACGTGACGATAGTTAACTAATTTCCTCAATATTGGTTACACGAGATCTGACAAAATGGCACACACTGTGACACTAACCAATTAAAAAGGTTAAAGCCATGGTGGATGTCTGACTTCAGCCAACAACGTTCACGTTGGTGCTAGGTTAGCTAACTACAGTCAGCTTTCTTTAATTTCACGACGCAGTGCGACATTAAGCCTGAATATATGACCATCGTTTGATTACATTACACACAGACAGACAGACATAAACTCACCTAAATCCTCTTAATGAGCAAAAACAGTCTGTGAAATAAAAACTAATACCACTTCACTCCAGTACAATCAGTTCCGGGAAGAGGAAATTGTAAACGCAGCAGCGCATGCGCATTAACACTGAATCTATGTGGGTCATTACACTTGTGTGGGGAGGGTACAGTTCACAAACTGTTATAAAACTGAGAAAATATTGTCGGAGTGAGGTAAACATGGTACATTTATTCGCAAATGTGGTACTTAATACCATGTAGTTGTATTTACTATCTGTCTATCATGCAGAATGGGATACTATAAGATCAATCGTTGTAATTAACCCCTCTGTGCAGATCGAAGTAATTTCCTTTAGTTGACGGGTCAATGAATAGAAGAGACATGTTTCAGCCCCCTCAAAACTGTAAAAGGATCAGTTTTCTGGCCGTCAGAAATGCGTTTAACCCTTAATACTGACACAGCAAACTGACCCAGAGTTAGTATCATTAAATAACGGGTCAACAAGTCGTTGCTATCTAGCATTAAGACACAGGATGGGGGTGTTGTGCTGTCGGGTGGACGGTGTATCTGTCTGTGGGATGCAATAATATGAAGGGAAAACTTTAATGTTGCGTTACGAGCCACCTCGTAAATCTTGGCACTCAGTCCAGAAACTACTTTAAAATATATTTGGTCAGTTATTTAGTACAAAGCTTGAAATGTAAGCCCAGTGATTCATATCATTTACACTTGCTAAGCAAAATAAACCGAAATAGGTCTGTACTATCCATCATTTATTAATCTATTTTCTAGAATGTTGGTCTCATTTATAAGACAAGCCCACGCTCTGGCCTGAGGAGAGTTTTGGGCAATATATTCACGTTATGCTGTGTGGGTGTCCGTGTAATATTACGAATGGTAAACGGTTGGTGAAATGGAGTTTGCCATACTCTTTGTATTTCCACTAGTCATAAAGCGTGATTCATGTGTCCAAAACATACATTCCAATATTTCCGACAACATCTGAACGCATCACTAACCCAACTCCCCCCGCGCTGGAGGTGATTAGGGTACGCTGGACAAGCCCAGAGACGCCGCTCCAGCCACTCCCTACGCCCGGCGGACCCTGCACTCTCAAGTCCATCCAGAGCTCCATTCAAAGTGCTGAGATCCAGATGAGAGCCACGTTCAGCCTCATCCAGCACAGCAGACACGAGTTAAACTAAAAGACAGCGGGGAAGGGCTTCAGGAGCCACTCCAGACTCTGGGAAATCACCTCTGGGATCCTACTTTTGTCCTCAGAGTGGATTTAGGACGAGAGGGAACAACTCTTTCAGAGATAAAGAGGTAAGTTTGACATCTTCTGTTACTTGGCTTGCTGCTAAAAATGTAACAACTGCGAGTGTTTTTCTCGTCGTCTGGGTCATATTTGTCACACTGTTGCACTCGCTGCAACTTTTCTCCAAAGTTAACTTTGCATTGTCTTTAGACCGTCTGCAGCTCATTCATTCCTCCTCACTTCGTGCAGGAGGGGGTTGGGATTTTTTTTATCTTTCTTTTTCTTTGTGCACGGATGTTAGTAGTTGTAGGATAAAACTGGTATGTCCGACTTCAGTTTTGCTGATTGCCTTTTCTAAACCCAAACCAAGGCTCATTTAGCAGTGTTAATGCAAAGTGTGGTCGCTAATTGCATACATCTGCAGGGTTTAAGCACCATCTTTGTGTTTCAAGAGAACCACTGCAGACCCCAGCACAGGACAGCAGCAGATGTGTCAACTTTAAAAAAATCATTCAGAGTTCAGTCTTCTCAGATGACATTGTGGTAAACATCATCACACGACTAAACACAGTGTGAACAGAAAGCTCTCTGTGAAATGGGCGTTTTCATCAGTTAAAGGGTCTAAATGAAAACAGTAAACCCTGACCTTTCATTTTGGGATCTTTCAAAGTAAAATCCCCCTATTTTAATCATATCCTTACATTATGCATCCTCTGATCTGTGGATTCACTTGGATCTGTGTTATACAGTAAAAAATATCAAATGTCAGCTTTAAACTGACTGAAGGTGGGTTTACCCTCCAGTACGCCCCTGGTTTTAAGAGATCTTAATGCTGCTGACTGGAATAAATTACTGCTCAGCATGGACTGCATGAATAAAACTATTCACCTCTCTGAGAAACATCCCAAAGTGCCTTCTTGTCAGAGTTGACCTGCTTTCTTTCTGCTGGGATCCCCTGTGGGATCCAGCCTGGAACTTATAAAATCAAACGAGGAGAGGAATGCCTTATGGGAAGAAAAACTATAGTAGATGTTGGAAAATGCTACATCACTACAGTATTAAAATACACTGTGGTTGCACTGGATAAAAATAGACTAAATGGAGACATGGAGCTGTAAAATCACCATGGATGTGTGTAATGTTTTTTGTCTTTTCTGAGTATGTGTGTGGTTTTTTTTGTGGAAACATTAAGTGTGATAGGTTTTTAAATCTGAGTCAGAGCCTGCTGAAGCTGCAGATTGTGCCCAGTCTAAACATAACTTTTACCTTGACTTTGATTTTTTTTTTTCTAGCTTGAAGCAGTTTAACCCAAACTATAAATTCCCACATATTCCCATAATAAAACATTCATGCTTCTAAAGTATTGAGCCCTATCTGATTCAGAACATCAGTTCAGTGGAAATGCTACAAACTCACAGTCTTGTTATGCTTTAAATGTTCCAGCTTGTCGCTTGCCTTGTGATGGGAGATTGTTTCTAGCTTGGCAGTGCTTTGAATCCTGCAGTTTTTCAACTCCTAATTCCATTTGTGAACTTGAAATCCCTCAGAGGATTAGATAAGACCTTTTTTAAATATATAAAGGATGGTGTCTTTCTCTTTGTGTTTTTTCCACAAATATGTCCCGCCTCTGTTGGCCAGAGTCTCAGCCGGGAAGCCAGATGGGGACTTTATTACCCGCGCTGATCAAACAAACAGTGATGTAAGATGACTGTGAAAGGTAGTGTGTGGTAAGCCTTCAGAGTTGCACAGAGGCTCCTGGAAAAAGTAACAACCGTTTAGCTCAGACTTGGAAGACGACAGTTGTGTGGGACTGTTGGCTTCTCTAGTAGCACTCCTCACTGTGAGCTGGCTGGCCGCTCTGCTTTAAGTTGCATCAGTGTCTTTTTAACGTGCCAAAACCCTCTTCATGAACACTGTCGGGTGAGATGCAGTGGACTAAAGTGGTGTGTATAGAGGACCAAAGTCCCCCCAGCCAGTGCCATGGTGATGAATAGTGTTTGCACTTGTCTGCCCGTGCAGCTTAGCGTAGTGAGGCGTGCGTTTTGTGTTAGCCCTGCATCAACAGAGGTGGACAGGGGCACGCATGTGCAACCCCACTGACTGGACCATGAGAAGCCCTCAGCAGCCTCTGTTACAGGAGAATTTTCTGAAGCCAGGAAGCATCAAAAGTCCTCTAAATGATATGTAGTCGCTTCTCCAATTAAATGCCTCATACACACTAGATCTCATTAGTGTTTTCCTTCTGTTGCTTTATGTTACTTTGGAGTTGAAAGGGTAAAGATCACATATTGTCTTTAAATCCACTATCCTAAAGAAGTTTCCCCTGTGCCGTTTGACTCATTCCACTTAGGCTAACTGCTTAAACTCTACGTCCTGAGTCTCCCTGTGGAGCTGAAGTAATAACTCTGTACATTTTCATTCAGCTCAGCTTTGCTTTGTTAAGCCCTCTACAGCTGCTTTCTCCATTCACTTATGGCAAACCAAGCCAGACCAAGTGTTTGACTGCCTGTTGTGCAGACGACGCCGAAGCTGCTAATGCAGAGCAGTCTGGGGAACATTTGAGTGTAGTCATGTACTATAATACAGTGAGAAGTTGCAGGGTTCTCCTGTGTGCATTTATTCGATAGCCGATAAGCAAGCAGGCCACTTTGGAGCTGTGGTTACTTGTAAAGTGCAACAGCTCGGACCCTGAGGATCGAAAAGGGGACTGCTGGCCTTATTAATTGTGCAAACTAGAAGTCCATAGGCAGGGTATTTATATAAAACTCCACCCTATCTCTCCTTTTTAAAGCTTTACAAGCGGGCTGTGTGCACAGATACGAGCGTGCTTTATGTTCTGTAGCTAATGACATTTTACAGGACTCAAACCTTTACGTTGCCATTTGGAGCTGTGAGTGTATGAAGGTGCCCACTATAAAGTTAACTGCCACCTGTTTCATGATTGAAGTTGATATCAGTGGTACAAGCTCACAGCTTTTACTTGGTCCATTCATGGTGTATAAATCACTCTTGGTTTTTGCAGTGTGTTTATATTGCAAAGGGAGATAATTATGCTTGAGGGACGTCTTAGCACACTAATGCCCCATTGCTTATGAGGAGAAGAACATTAATCTGCTCCATTTGTTAGAATAAATAATTGCACACAGAGTTAAGACTAAAACTCAGTCTTATAACAGTTTTTCACATCCACTTGAACTTAGGGGAACTTTTGCCTCATTTCCACTGCATAGTACGACTTGACTCAACTACACTCACTTTTGACACCAGGTTCTTTACTCTATTGCGTTTTCCACTGCAGATAGTCCCCCTTCAGTGTAGGCGCAATTCTCAGCTGATTGCCGTTGTGACACAGCGTGAAGCTGCTCTGATATATAATTTTCAGCTCAACATTCACTGAATCCTTTCATCATTGGTCAAGCAAATAGATAAACGTTTGCACTTTGTCACATGTACGACATAGTGCACCCAGTGAATGGAATAGTTTTTTTTAATGTAGGTTGAGTGCAAAAAAAATGATGCAACGATTCTCTTTAACCATTCAGTGGTCTGCAGTGTTTTAATTCCACCTTATAGTATCCGCTCAGCTTGCTTGGAACCTCGGCTGTGTTGGTACCAAAAAAAGTACCAGGTACGAGGTACTGTCCACAACTTCTGCCAATGGAAAACCAACAAAAAGTGAGTTGAGTTTAGTGAAGCCATGCCGTGCTACACAGTAGAAATCGGACATTAGACCCACAGAGCTAATAGCAAGCTGTCTTGACAATGCTAACCCTTTGAGGGAACGGAGTGCCAGAGAGCTCAAAATGGAGGAAGCTCTTGTAGCTTAGGTAAATGTGTTG